CGTGGACAATTAACTTCCCGAAATTCGAGGACCAGTATGTCAGAGGTTTCTAGCTAGCGGAATTTCAAGTGGTCTTATTACAGCACGAAACAATGCAAAAACGCATGATCGCATGGGCCCGCCATTGCGCGTCGCCAGTGATTTTTAAACAAATTTCAATAAGTTAAGGAGTGACCTGATAAATTTCACTTTCAGCAAACATTTCAATAATGTATAATAGTTTTAAGTCAATCTTTGCCATTAGTATGGTTTCCCAAATTTGAAACTTCCCACAGGCTGCTATAATGCGTTAACTACGAGTCATTTAGATCAGGTCGTAATTTTTGGAAATGATAATCTTAATGGTAGCGAACCCAGTGCATTGTCAGGATGAGTTGTTGAGGAGCAAGTAAATATGTGATTAATGCACCAGAATTCGAAAAAAACGAGTAATTTTATAATATGTATTTAAATACTATTTCAAGGTACATCTTATAAGGTCAGCAAATGGAGATATCCTAGTCGCTGTGCTTGTACGATGCGACAAATCATACCGACGTAAGAGGCCTTCGCCCTACGTAATACTGTTCGCGCAGCCGAACAGTTCCGATGTCGGATCATGCATGCTTACTGATCCTAATTTGGTAATTATTGCTTTGATGCCATTTATAATTGTGTCACTGAGGGAAAAGATTTTGATGTTTGGAGATAGTCCTTCGAAAATTGCGTTCCAGCTTAAAAACAACTGCATGCGCTCGTCAAGCACTTTTTTCAACGACACGTTAAGCTAAACATGAAAAATCCAAATTGAAAAAGTTTAAAGGAAAACGGATTTATCAGAACAGTCTAGGATGACCCGGAGCAGTTATACCATCGCTACTTGAACATGGACTAAGTCCTATACTAAGGTCAGTTGAATTTTTTAGGCCGATATTGCGGATTTTTTGCAGTGCGATCTGATGGCATTTGATTACAGTGGCTTTGGACTGAGCACTGGCACACCCACTGAACAAAATGTTTATCAGAACATAGAAGCTGTTTATCAGTTTGTCTCTAAGTGTTGAAGCAGCAACTTTCATCTTTTAATGAACTTAAAGCGTAGTTTACCTCCAGTTAAA